AAACGTATTGCTGCAGGTATAAGTAGAAACCATTCCATGGCGTCGTAGAACCCCTGGATGCCCAGAAGCCCGTGGCCCGTGGGAATCCCAAGGGTGCCTGAAACCTCTTCCCCGCAGACTCTCATAAAAGCCCCTCGTAAAGCAGCATTTCCTGAAATCGCAGCGTCCCACATGGGCTCGGACTCATTGGCCCAAGTCTTGACCAGGGGTTCGCGTGTGAGACTCCAAATTCTAGCAACCATCGTGAGCAGCCCTATGACCCTGTCCCCTGAGGCTTTTTTGGGGATCATGCGCCCAATGGTTAATCCCAACTGTGATGGCCATGTGAGGGTCTCCTCGATCACTCCATACATGCGAGCTAACTCGTCCAGGGCAACATCTGGTAGTCGCTCGACGTCCGTCGGCGACAAGACATCGACACCCATGCCTGCGCGAGGGCGCATCGCATGGGCTGCCTGGCGAATATCCGAAACTGAGATTGGCTCCAGGGGATCCTGACGAGCCTCGACTCGGGCTCGCTCGAAAGCTACGAGAACCTTGGTTTCCTCCAGAGGTCCAGGGGCCCAGAGGTCTCTAAAAACCTTCGCTTTGGCATCAACAATATCCCGTGGGTGAAATACAACTTGCTGGCCGACTGTGACCTCGTCTAAGGGCAAAGGTTCTTGCCGCATCGCACGGTGCAAGACGCCTGATGCAGCTGGCTGTACAATCCAATCTCGGAACTCAGCAATCGAGGCTCGCATGGCACGGCAGCGACAGCGAGCAGCTATCTTCCTAGCCGAGTGGACAAAATCTGCGAGCTTATACTGGTGTTCTGGAGCTCCCTGAGACAGCACACTTTTCCAAACCTCCCAAGACGGGTCGATTCCTTCGCGTAGGCCCCTGTGGGCCTGATCAGGTGACTCATCCAACAAATTACGACAAACGGTTTGCAATTGGGACTGTTGGGCATAGCCGTTTCCCCGTGTACGATGATTGTTTAATCTGTGCAGAACCGTGTGGACTCGCTCCCACCATGAAGCCACCACATCCCGATACGGCACTAACCTACCTTTATTAGGTACACGGTGTTCAACGACTTTGAAAGAATACCCTCTGCCACGTGATGACGAAGGCGGGCCATCCACTCCATGATGCTCGTACACCGCCCTTTCCAACGTCGTCACCCATGAGGCATATAGAGCCGAGACTGGGCCGACGGACGAGGGTTCAAGCCTAGCGGCTACGGACGAGGCAAAAGCAATGGGGGGAGGGCACTGATGTTCAGGGATAAACCCGACCGCCGTCCTGGCTTCGATCCAGGTCTCGGCTGGGATAAAGAAGCTGACCTCGGTGTTCTCCAAACCTTGGGGGGGGCGGCTCTTGAAACTCGCTGGGATGGGTGGTCGACTCGTTGGGAACTGACGGTGTACAAGCATCCACTGGATGGACCAGACCCCACTCAATGCACGGAGCGTACAGAGGTAACTTGAAAACATGAGCTTCAGGATTCCAGACAAAAGGCCGAGTGTTGGGCTCCACCCCGCTGGGCGCTGCCTCAACACGCACTCCACTGTCCACGCCAGCGTGTCCAGTGGGGAACGTAGTCGCGGCAGCCCCCGTAGAACTCGATGACGCGTTGCCTTGCTCTGACGAAGTAGGCTCCACCTTAGTCTCGCTGCTGGTTGCACCCTGGGCAGCGGGCTCCGAAGTATTAGGGCGGTGGTGGAAACAAGATTCATTGGCCCAGGGGTCCTCCTCTTCGTAACCATCCAAGAGATGGTCAAGGGGGTCCTCCCTGAGCTGATTCAAATCGTCACTGTCTGGGTCCGAAGCTGGAGCTGCCGTGCTGGAAGTGCCAGATCCGAAGTTGTCATCGTCGGCAGCCTTCCAGAGGTCGCCAAAAAGTTCTAGGTACCGATCTCGACGCTTCTCGACTGCAAGCTGAGTGGCAACTGTGCGCTCAACTTTGGCACGCTGCGACTTCGATCCAGGCGTGGGAAGACGGACTGGCCTAGACACCTGAGGGAGGCGAGCAGGCAGCTCGAGTCGGCGTGTGAGTAGCTGTCTGGCAGACGATCGGAGACTCAGCTGCAAACCACAGTGGGTCTTCCATGGGACAGACAGGGCCGCCTGCACATCTACAAGATACGCGGCGGCTGCAAAACTACGCACAACATAATCAATGTGACTGCCACTTTTTCCAGCGTCGCACGTGTAATCGATGGGAGCCTTCACGACCTCGCCTCCGACTCGTGCTAAAAACCCCGATGCGGCAAGAGATGTCGAAGACGCGTTGAAATCTCCCACAACTATCCAGGGCAACTGGAGTGATGACAGGAAAGCTCCTAGCTTCGAGAAGCGTGCGATGTTGTCGCCGGTCATGCCGACCGAAGTGAAACCGTAGAATGTAATGATCACGATCGAGTAGCCTGACATGTGCACAACTACTGCCGTGAAGCCGTCGGTGGCCGACTGGCCGTCAAACTGATACTCTGGCAAATTCAGCTGGGGGGCAAGTGAGTGCACCTGGTAGTGTCCAGGGGCCAAAATCCACTCGCCTCCCTCAGTGGCTCTCTCGAAACCTCGTGCAGTCGTGGACTTGCCTGTCGCCCGAGCTGGGTTGGCAACTAATATGAGACAAGACTGACGGGACTTCTCTGTCCACTCACGCAAGGCAGTGCGGGAAACGTGCGTCTCCACAAAACAAAAAATCTGATGGGTGTCATTCTCACGAGCCCTACGGACGAAGTTCCACACCTTCTCCCCCATGGCGGTAACGTTGCCAAACAGAAGCTGCGTATACTTGTCATCGCTCGTGCACTTCGATGCCACCCCTAGTCAAGATGACGCAGGGATCGGGTCCTCCGACAGATGCTGCTGGGACTGGAACTTGGCGGCTGAGAGCTTGGCTGCTTCAGCACGAACTCGCTCTGCATGGACATCTGCTACTGGAGCCGCACCTGCGGCCGCACCCTCAGGCGCCTGCGGCGCTGCCGCTGCCGCTGCCTGGCTGCCGCCGCTGCCGCTGCCACCACTGGCTGCGGGCGCGGCCTCGCCTGGCTGCGGCGCTGCGGGGGGTGCGGCCTGGCCCTCGGCCGTGCGCCTCTTCTTCATGAAGCGGTCCTTGATGGCCTGGCGCATGTCCTGGGCGTTCTTGAGCATCGTGGTGGCCTCATCAGCCTTGCCATCGAGGGTGGTCTTGGCCGACTGCAGCTCGCTGTGAATCTTCCTCAAGGTCTCCTTCTCGGAGTCCTCGCGTTCCAGCTCGTCTAGATTGTCGAACAGCGTGTGGTCGTACACTAGCTCGAAGGGCTTGCCGCACTTGTCGTCGGCCTTCCCCTCTGATGGCTTGGGTACAACTCCCTCAGCCGTTGCCAGTGCACGTGCGGCCTGCTGCTTCACGATGGTGGCCTCCGCCAGCTCCTCGGCGAGACGACGCTCCTTGAGCTCAGCTGCCTCCAATTGCCGACGAATGCGAAGGACTGACTGCACTGATTGGGTATGGCGATCGTTGGCATCCCTCCAAGCGCTGTCCGCCCTCTGAAGAGACGGGAGCGCATCCTTGGGCTGCATGTGCTGTGCCTCCTCACGCTTGAGCTGGACGACCTGCTGCATCAGAGCCTCCTTCAACTTGGGGTCCTGCGCGGCAGCGATCGCCTGCTCTAGGAGGGTGCGGGCTGATGATTCAACTGCCTGTCCACGCGTCCCTTTGCTCGCCTTGGAGCTGCGGGGCGTGGACTGGTTACTGCCTGCATCACTATCCTTACTATCCTTGGCAAAGCTCACGTTCTTGATGATACCCTTCGGCGGCGCACTGGGACTCTTGGGCCTCAGCACGTAGAGCTTCACCTTGCGTCCACAGCGGGCACACTTGCGGTCTCTCTGCTCGAGTCTGTCGTTGTATTCACACTGCCCACACGAGCGGCATGTCGACCACGGCGCCATGGATGCTGGAAACCTCGGATTTCGTCACCACTCTATCACGGGAGAGACGGGCAAATCTTCAGCCCGAGAGAAGTGGTGTGCCCCAAGCACCACGGGGAGGTACCGAGGCTGGGTTCGGAGGAGGAGGAGGAGGAGGGGGAGGAGGAAAGGGAGGAAAGGGAGGAAAGGGAGGAAAGGGAGGAGGAGGCAACGAGAGGAGGGAGGACACGAGAGGCACTCGTCACGCCAAGAAGGGGTCGCCAAACACCGATCCTCACGAGAGGCACTCGTCGCTTCACCATCGCAGCGGAGAGCCTGGCGGCAAGGCGAGGGAACGACAGAGGAAGACGACGACGGCGGAGACGACGAGGGGGAGGAGGGAAGGGGGGGGGGGAGGGGGCAAGCGCCCACACCCATGCCCGGCGCCGGCTCAGTCCAGCGGGCCAGGGCGCGCGGCCACACCCAAAAGGGATCGCCAAACACCGATCCTCCTCCTCCACCTCCTCCTCCTCCTCCTCCTCCGCCCCTCCTGGGCACGGGGGAGGATGCATCGACCGCGATTGGCCGATGCATCGCCCATGCATCGTCGATGCGTCGTCGATGCAGACCGCCACGTGCATAGTTCGTACCTCGCCGATGCATCGCCCCGACATCAGCGTTACATCGTCACTAAACTAACCACTCGAGGTCGATGCACCCCCCCCCCCTATCGTTGACCCCGAACCTTTCCGTGGGGCCGGTACCGGTCGGCCACGTTGCCGGCGCCGAGGCCCGGGCACCACTGCGAACCAGGCTCCGTGGCAACTCACGGGGGCATGCCATGCCATGTTGCCGGCTCTTGCGGGCCGACGCTGACCGAGGGCGGCTCATCGATGTGATGCGACGCCAAAAGCCGCCACCGTGCCTTGCACGTGGAGGCGTGGAAGAATGTCAAGGTCTGTCTGGCTGGGTTCCTGTAATTTTCTCAAGGGCTCTCCTCTCTCCCAGCCGCACTTCGCCGCGCGCATCGAATTCCCCTTCCCGAGACCATCACCCGTCACAAGATACGACAGATTCGCGCTCCCGAGGCCCAGATGCCTCCAAGATGGCCCAATATCGCTCCAAGACGGGCCACGTTGACCCTCAAGACTGCCCAGCCACGAGGCCGTCAAGGCGTCCCAAGAGAGCCCCATTGAGGGCCTCGAGAGGCTAGAATCGCTGATTTGTTGTATTTAATATGTTGTTTGGATTCTCGCCTTTTCGAGCTTCTGACGTCACAAAACGACTCAAGAGGCCCTCAGGATTATCACATCCGCCGCTCTGCGGTTGATCGGGAGTTTCTGTATATATAGAAGAAGGGGCGCGCGCTTCTGGGCGAGAGGGAAACGACCGAGAGAAGAAGGGGCGGCCGCCCCACAGGACCTCTCCATGGTGCCGGAAGCCCATCAGGGCTCCCTCAGGGCCCCTCCCCCAGGGCCGGGGCTCCCTCGCCTGCCCCCTCCCCTCCTCCTCCTCCTCCTCCTCCTCCTCCTCCTCCTCCTCCTCCTCCTCCTCCTTCGCCCCCGTCGGCATATCCAGGCGTGTTATGCAGTCAGGTCGTCCGTCCGGAAACGGTGCCGGAGGCCGCTCTGGGCTCCTCTGGGCATCCCCCCCGGGGCCCGTTTTGTGAGGATGTCTCAGGCGAGGGCGCCGGTTTGGGATTCGTCACCGGATCCAGCGGATCCAGCGGATCCGTCCGGAAACGGTGCCGGAGGCCGCTCTGGGCTCCTCTGGGCATCCCCCCCGGGGCCCGTTTTGTGAGGATGTCTCAGGCGAGGGCGCCGGTTTGGGATTCGTCGTCGGATCCAGCGGATCCAGCGGATCCAGCGGATCCGTCCGGAAACGGTGCCGGAGGCCGCTCTGGGCTCCTCTGGGCATCCCCCCCGGGGCCCGTTTTGTGAGGATGTCTCAGGCGAGGGCGCCGGTTTGGGATTCGTCACCGGATCCAGCGGATCCAGCGGATCCGTCCGGAAACGGTGCCGGAGGCCGCTCTGGGCTCCTCTGGGCATCCCCCCCGGGGCCCGTTTTGTGAGGATGTCTCAGGCGAGGGCGCCGGTTTGGGATTCGTCACCGGATCCAGCGGATCCAGCGGATCCGTCCGGAAACGGTGCCGGAGGCCGCTCTGGGCTCCTCTGGGCATCCCCCCCGGGGCCCGTTTTGTGAGGATGTCTCAGGCGAGGGCGCCGGTTCCCAGAGGCCGGCAGGATCTTAATTTAAGACCGGGCAAGTAGCTTCTTATTTTCTAACATGTCTGATTTAAGAGAATAAGACCCTTACGTAAGATCATGCACATTACATATTTTTGTTGTGTTTCTTCAGCATTCAAACTCACCACGGCCCCATCGCAACGTCCTGGAAAGCCCCTTTTTCTATCCCCTCATAACCCATTCATCATCCCTTTCTAGTCCTCCTAACCGTTAGAGCCACCCCTGGGAGGCAGGAGACAGATGAGGGAATTGAGCAGGAATATCACCACAATTAGGGATAATCCAGATCAGCGTTTATATATATATATATATATATATATATATAGCGCCCGTCTTGCTAGTGCTGCCCCCATGCCGATGCCACCCCCCATGATGATGTTGCCCCAGATGCCCCCCCCATGTTGATGTTGCTGATGTTGCTAGATGCCCCCGCATGCTGATGCTGCCCCAGGATTCGTCCATTTCTCGTCTCTAAGTGCGTCTTCTCTTGTTAGTCTTCGTCTTCACCTCCTCGTCACGATCGCCTCTTCGCCTCTCCGTCCCCGTCTTCAGCCCGTTGTGGCTCGAGGGATTGTATGACCCCGCACCATAGCGGGGGGTCGCCCTCGCCGCGGTACAAGGACATCCGCCTTTGGATGGTCCGCATGCCGCTGGCGCTGGGGGGGCAAAATTGCCCATCCCTGCCCTTTCTCCCTTTACTCCTCCTCCTCCTCCTCCGCCTACTCCTCCTCCTCTTCCTCCTCCTCCTCTTCCTACTCCTCCTCCTCTTCCTACTCCTCCTCTTCCTCCTCCTCCTCCTCCTCCTCCTCCTCCTCCTCCTCCTCCTCCTCCTCCTGCGTCGCAGTCGTCGTCGTCGTCGCATGTTTCGTCGTCGTCGTCGTCGGCGTGGTACGCTGGCACCCTCCTCATCTTCCTGCTCCTCCTCCCCCACCTCCACCTCCAAGGGGACCGAACTGACGGGCCTCGACACGCTCGCGAGGGAGATGGAGCAGGCCAGCGGGAGTTTGATATGTATGTACGTATGTAGTTATTGATTTGGTATGTGTATATTTTCATCAAATAGATGTTTGTTTATGCATGTAAACCTGTGCACATATATATATATATATATATATATATATATATGTTTGTAATCATTTGCTTGCATATGTCGTCATGTATTGGTCCATGGCGTACCGTTATACATGTGTATAGATGTTATCTGGTGTTGTGAAGTCGTTACACATGTGTAGGTATATATGTATGAGCGTTGGATACGCAGCGTAGGTTTGCCATTTTCATTCCGAAATCCGCCTGCAGGGGGACGTGCCCGACTGGGGCCCGCCGAGGTGTCGCCTTGTGGACGTGCGCGGGCGCTTCGTGGGGGCTCCGAGTGCGGGGCGGGTCCGCAGAGGTTTCGCCTGGCGGGCGCCCGTGGGCGCACGTGGTGGGCGCCTTGCGCGCTGTACTGGGTGTGCCGAGTGGAGCACGCATGGGTGTAGTGTTGGGCCGATTTGGATCCGATTTAGACGCGTCCAAATCGGGCCCAAATCGAGCCCAAGTCGGATCCAGGGGCACGAGGATGTGGATGATGAGGACGATGATGATGATGCTGGTGATGATGATGATGAGGATGACCATCGTGACGGTGGTGATGATGATGATGATGAGGATGATGATGATGATGAACATGACGGTTACACCATACCTCCCCCCAGCGTTGCCCCGCCCCAGGGGGCTGTCGACACCGTCGAGGGCTCGGACACAGAGGTCGAGTCCTGCACCAAGGGCGTCGAGACCATGGTGCAGGAGGCCATGCAGGTGGCACGCGAGTGCTCCATGACGGAGCAGGAGATCCAAGAGGAGTTCGACCGCCTGGACTTGGACCAGACGCTGCCGTACATCGAGGGCGCGGCTGCAGCGGTGAACCACCTGCGCGCCAAGGCGTCGCCAGCCGAGGAGCAGCATGGGCAGCCCGCCGAGGAGCAGCGCGCAGAGAAGCAGCCAGCCGAGGAGCAGCCAGCAGAGAAGCAGCCAGCCGAGGAGCAGCGCGCAGACATGCAGCCAGCCGAGGAGCAGCGCGCAGCGAAGATGCAGTCAGCCGAGGAGCGGCGCGCATCGAAGATGCAGCCAGCCGAGGAGCAGCGCGCAGCGAGCATGCAGCCAGCCGAGGAGCAGCTGGCGCATGGACGGCCAGCCCCGCCCCCGGCCGCCCCGAGTCCTGCGACGCCCCCTGGCCCGCCTCCGCCCACGCCCTCGGTGGGGCAGATCGATTCGGACGAGGACAGGAGGGCCAAACGGACAGCAACATGACCTGGTCGGGTGGTGGGCTCCTCACCCGAGGAGCCCATGACCACAGTGATTGTTGCGTTCGCTTGGTCTCCTCAGGAGCCGCTGCAAGCCATTGCCACCACTTCGCCGAGGTCGCGCCCGAGGTCAGCGAGCTGGGTACCAGCGCCAGAGACGCCGCAGCTGGCGGACACGCCATCGTACAATCCAGCGGACTCGGGCTCGCAGCTGCCGCTCGGGCTCTCGCAGCAGACTTCGGACGAGCAGGAGACGCCAGTGCTGCCATCCTTCAAGCGGTCGCTGACAGACGATGTGCAAGTGGAGACCAAGAAGTCCAAAAGGTGGCAGAGTAATCGCCTCGTGAGCCCGCCACGCGTGGAGGAGCGCGTGCCAGCGCATCCGCGCTCGCAGCGGCCGCTCACGGCGCCGCCGCAGCTGGTGGGCCAGCGCCTGCAGCAGCCAATCGAGAGCAGCCACATCAACAAGCAGCAGGCGATGACAGCGCCGAGCATCGACCAGATGGCGCGGGCACCTCTCGATGGCAACTGCGGCATCAGCAAGGAGCAGCTGGTGGAGAAGCTCAAGCAGAAGTTCGACGAGCTGGTCGCATCCGACACGGGTGCGGACTTGGACGAGATGGGCAAGACTTTCCAGGACTTCTACAAGGGCTCCTTGATCGTGCAGCTGCGCGCGATGCGCCCTGAGACCGCGGAGAAGCCTCTGGATGACGACTTCGGCGCCGACCCGAAGGAGTCGGCTCTTGACAGGGAGGAGCGCCTCATGTGGGAGTCCTTGGAGGAGAAGGCGTTCAAGTTCAGCACGGAGAAGAAGAAGGGCAACGCGATCGCGGGCAGATGGGCCAGAGTGATGGAGGCATCGAACGAATGGTCTGAGAAGTACCTGGCGGCGGAGGGCTACCCAGCCAAGAAGGCGGTCCGCGAGGAGTGGGCGAAGTGGTCGTTCCACAGGTGGCAGAAGAAGCGGGAGTTCAGCAAGACGCAGACGAACATCAAGAAGCAGACGATGAAGGGCGTCTACATGCCGCTGGCCAGGCTGGCGTGGAAGTTTGGCGGGGGGTCCACTGGTGCCAAGCTGGCATACACGTATGCTGGGAAGGCAGTGCTGATGGGGGGCATCTTCACGAAGTGGTGCAACATGACGGACTGCCTGTTCTACCTCTACGTGGAGCACTCGTTGGAGGACACGTGGCAGCAGAGCTGGACCAGCCACGAGGTCTGGATGGAGTCGGGCTGCGTCGGCGGCCAGCCACCTCCTGGCGCCGATGGCGTGGCCAGCGTGCCATGCACTCCGCTGCCGCGCCCTGGTGCCGAGGCGTCCAGCGAGGAGAAGCAGGCAGCCGCAGCAGCGACGGGCGGCCCTGGGAACGAGGCCACCAGCGGCAAAGGAGGCGACGGCGAGGGCAACGGCAACAAGAAGAAGCTCGCCGTGAAGGCGCCCGAGTGGATGAAGGACTTCCGCAAGCTGCGCACACTGTTCGCGCAGCACACGTCCCAGGCCCACGGGGGGTGCCGCTTTGATGGGGGAGAGCCAGGGCCGAGTGGCGACGGTGAGTTCGACGACGCCAGCGGCGCGATGATAACCGACGCAGCCGATGCGATGAGGATAGCGACGACAACGGGGAGTTGGGCCGAGAGGAGCGATGAGGCGGACGAGGGAAAGGTGGAGGAGGAGGATGAGGATCAGGATGCGAATGAGAACAACGCGAAGTGCGGGGTGGGGGGACAAATGAGAGGTGGACGATACGTCATGTCGGAGCGGGCGGGGTGAGACGCAGGAGCAGGACGGGATGGCAACGTGACTGGAGTTATAAGAGAGAGAGAGGGAGAGAGAGAGAGAGAGAGAGAGCGAGAGAGAGAGAGAGAGACAGAGAGCGAGAGAGAGAGAGAGGGCGAACAAGAGAGAGAGTGAGAGAACGAAAGAGAGAGAGAGAGAGAGAGAGAGAGAGAGAGAGAGAGAAAGGTATGAACGATAATACAGAACGAGAGGGACGAGGAGGCGTGAATACGATGATGAGGAAGTGCATGGGCGAGGGCGGGGAGACGGGAAGCGGGCTGAGAGGGTGGGATGGGGCATATATTCATGGGGCGTGGTGGTCGAGCTTGGAGTCGGGAGCGATAGGCGTGCGATGGCGAGACGGAGAGTGATATGCGATAACAGCGAGCATGTCGCGTGGAAGGGGAGGTGTCCACATTGGAGGCGCTGATCAAAGCGGACGCAGCTGAGGGCACGAACGAGTGGAAGTTCGCAGCAGGGAAGGAGACCAGGGGCGAGCTGGACAATGCTATCAAGCAGGTGCCCTGGGGGGATTGCGCACGTGCCCCGCCTCTCCTCGCCCCCTGCCATCCGGCCCCCCATCCATTCCCAGAGCAATAACGGCTAACCCCAACTATGTCCTCACCATTCCCGTTCATTTCCATCCAGGCATCAAACGGCGCCCCGAGAGGGTCTACAGTCAGCCTATACTGTTTCCGAGAGGTCCCCAAGAGCCCCCCAAGAGGCCCCCAAGACGCACAAAGAAGATATGACGCCCACCAGGAAGCCCCCACGCCCTTCGAGCATGGGCGCGCGTTCGACTCGGCGCTGGATGCGCGCCGCGCCGAACGCGCACGCTGGACGGGGCTTGGTCGCGTCCATGGTCGCGTCCATGGTCGCGTCCATGGACGCGACCATGGACGCGTCCAAGCCCCGTCCAAATCCAAGACGGTGCTGCCGTTCAAAATGGCGGGGTTGCAACGCGATCACGAATTATCTGCGAAATCTGCCCCCTCCCCCCCTCCCCGCCCACCGCCGCCGCCGCGCATGGACTGACCCCGTCGAAACAGCATTGTTAACGCCATCGGCGCACTATGTGGCACCATGACGACTACCAACCCCGAGGCCCTCGCCCCCCCCCCCTGCCCTGCTCCACCCGTCTCACGTGCGTAGCCATTTTGGCTGTTTGCGGCTCGCCACTCCCGCGGAGCATGGCGCAGAAGCGCTCGCGGTGCAAGGGGTCCGATGAGCTGGAGGCCGCGCTGATCAATCACTTCAAGGAGGCGGATGAGCTGGACTACCCGCATGGGCTCGCAGACGACTGCGACCCTGACGCGTTGAGCGAGTGGGAGGACATGCTCTTGGACGTCCGCAGAGCCATGTACCCTCACATGGCCATATCGCAGTCGAAGGCCATCCAACTCTTCGAGAAGGTCCTCGAGGAGAACGGTGCTGCGTGGGCCCTCGGTGACGAGGAGAAGGACTGGACGACGTCCATGGCGAAGATGCTTCGCGCCATGTTGAGGCACGTCCAACAAGCGGTGCTGAAGAACATGAAGCGCGAGGGGCGCTATCCCGACTCCTGCGCGTGGGTGCAGCCCTTCGTTGAGCAGATGAAGAAGCTCGACGCGGCGAAGGACGCACCAGCCGCCCATTTGCGTGGGCGATAGGGCGCGGACGGGCGCAATGCCCATGGTGGCGGGATATGGCCAGAAGGCGTGGAGACGGGAGAAACCCGCGGCCATGGTCATCGCACAGTCCGCGCAGCATCGCCCATGCAGCTGCGCTCGCCAGAGGAGCCGACGTACACGTACTCTGTTGACATGGTCACCAAGAGAGCGTACCGCCTGGACCAGAGCATTGCCAACCCAGCGCCAGAGTACGCCATGCCGCTCCAGGACGACCCCCTGGCCGCCGACCACGACGAGGTGATCGCCAAGTTCAGGGGCGGCGCCAGCGCGGTCATCGCGGGCCTTGTGTACAAGACCATCAGGGAGTGGAAGCAGTTGGACAATGGTGGCAAGTGCCAGAAAGGTAGCAACATTATCGTCGAGCTGGTCAGTGGCACGTCCAAGTTCCAGCTGAGCAAGTGGACGAGGAATGGCAGCCCCGAGATGGGGATCTGGGAGTTTCCGAAGCAGGGCAAGAAACGCATGATCGTCAACTTCGTGCCCCACGCGGGCATGGTTGGGCATGAGGAGATGCTGGAGAAGCAGGCAAGACTGCTGGCGGCTGGGAAGACCACCAAGGAGGAGATCGAGGTGATCAAGCGCGCATTCATCAAGAAATTCAAGGATGAGCAGAAGGAGACCGATGCGGCGAACGCCTGCCCCATGAGACGACCAGCAGCGGCCGCGGCAAAGAAGACGAGCAGCGCCGCCAAGAAGCCCAAGCAGGTCGTTGATCAGGGCCTTGATGATTTCGACGGCGACGAAGATGCCGACGAACTTGCCGATGTGGAAGGCTCACAGGACGACGACCAAGAAGATGCATCCGAGCAGGCTGACGAGTCGGCGGGGATGTCCAACGATGAGAAGAGCGACCACGCGGACGGCAGGGGCGGCAAGGGCGACGAGGCCGGCACGGGCAGCAGGGGTGGCAAGCGTCACAAATTAGACTCGACCACCATCGCCGATGTCAAGGCTGGCATGCTGAAGCGACCTGCAGCATCAAGCCCCCGCTGCACAAAGACGGCGCCGAAGCGCGCGCCAGTTCCGCCCAGGGACATTGCTGGAGAGGAGGCGGCATCCCATGGGGCACGCGCAGATTTCGGTAGCCCGCGCCCGTCGCGTAGGCGGCGGATCAGCGCCAAATCACCTGACGTGCACGGCAGAGCTGAGTCGCCCAAGGCTGCGCCATCGGCCGATGCACCGACGCCGCCGCCACCGCCCCCGCCGCCTGCTGGCAAGACCTTGGACTCACCCCTGGCCGCGCTGGGCACCAGGGCCGCCGCGGGCGACCTGCCCCGCGGCGCCGCCGACGCTGGCCCAGGCGATGTTGAGATGGAGATCTTCGGGTCTGGTGGTGGGCTCTTCGGCGCCATGTCGAGCTTCAGGCACTAGTGCGCGGGCGCCGCAAGAGACGGGCCGCTCAGTCAAACTAGCCACTGCGCAGTGCAGTGCGACACTCTGGTGCAAGCTGGGGCGCACCTTGACCAAGAAGTCGTGACAGTCGGTCACGTTTGCCCATTGTTGGAATCCACATGTCGCTCCACCTTCCCTCTTCCCCCCCGCCCCCCCTTCCAGTCGCGTCGTCTCTGGGGCTCACCGCCCCATCGGCAACATTCGCGCGTTCCCATCCTGAACTCCGAGGTTAGGTCATAGTTCCCTCCTCCACTCCATGGCCCATTCACACTTGCACCAACGCCAGCTGTCTTCATTTTTCGGAGACACCCTGAGGGCCGTCTGACGAGGCGGAGGAAGCACGCGGCGAGACGGCAACATGCGAGGGGGCGAGGACAATTGGTGGAGAGGCGGGCGGGAGCATGACGAGTAGCGACGAGGAAAAGGGAAAGGCGAGTCATGCGGTTGTGACACGGCGCACCCCCCCTTCCCTTGTTCATCTACCATTCCCCCTTACACCCGCTCGTCCCTGCATTGCCCCCGCCATCCCCTTATATCGCCATTCCGCCGTTCTCAAGATCACGCTGATCGAACTGTGACCCCCTGCCCCCCGTGGTCACCCTCCTCGTCGGGGCCCCGCTGGTCAGGCCAATGGTTGTTCGCGCGAATCCCAACCAACCCATCCAGCAGCCCCGCCCACGAGAGCTGACGGGAAATGAAACGCATATACGCATATAGTGAACCAGCGCAGTCAACGAGAGGAAGGGGAATGCGTTGAGTCACGTCGGGGGGCTTATCGTTGAGCATCGAAGGTCTTCTTGGGACGGTTGGACCTTTCGGGGGCGTCGCGGGGTCCTCTCGGGGCTCTGTGGGGGGTATACGAGTGCCCCATTGAGGCTCGTTGGGTGGCGCGCGAATTCGCATGGGGCTTTTTGTGTGCGCATGCGGGCCCTCGCCCGTCGTGGGGTTCCCGCGGTGCTCTCTCGGCGTTCTCTTCGGAGCTCTGGGGCGTCTCCTGGGGCCATCTTGGATGCCGTCGATCCACGGAGGGGGTGCCACATGTTCGCCGCCCTGCTGGGGTCATCTGAATAGTCTCTCGTGGGGGTCTTGTGCGCCCGCGGGACCGTCGCGGGGGCTCACGGGCCCCTCTTCGAGCTCTCTTGAGCCATCTTGAGGCTGCCTTGAAGCTTCAAACTCGCATCGGAGGCGAGAAGGAGGCGACGCCAACATCGTTGTTCCCCCCTATGGTTTTCGAATGATGCTGGCTACTCGGGGAAATCCTGCGGGGTCTCCAAACACGGTTGGATCCGTCGCGTGGCCTTCACGGTGCCTCTTGGCGCCATGTTGGCTTTTTGAGCGATCTTGGAAGCCAAATTGGGCTCTTCCAGGCCCTCGTGGAACCGTCTTGAGCCATCTCGCACGCCCTGGCCGCTCGCGACCCTCCCCGCCCAGGTCTTTGGGCGGGCAACGGGGGCGGGGGTGCAAACGTCCCCCCAAAGGGGATGAGGGGTTTTCTTGGAAGGGGGGACGCTGGTTCGTTGGACCGCCTGTCGCGCATGAGGCTGGCGGGATATCTGCGGTCGCGCGCCCCCATGGCTGTGGACAGAGGGTGAGTGACGGGGTCAGGCAGAACGGGTTTGGGCATCGCATAGAGGGGAGGTGGAGTTGGAGCTCAAAGTCTCCATCAACAGGGAGTGCATGACCACGAAGAACCTCAATGAGGTCAAGAAGCGGATGACCGACGCCGAGTTCGAGGTGCTCATCAAAAAGCTGAACCAGGATCGGGGGCGCCTCTTGCTTGCCTCCCCAGGTCGCCTCGTCCACTATCAGCCCTCCCCCCCGACCATTCGCTCGTGCGGCTCACCATTATCACGTGGCCCGCCGCTCTCGGTTCCCCGAACTCCATCCGACCCTCTCAAGAACCCGCGCACCATGGTCGCCCAACATTTTCTCGTGGCGGGCCAGTGCCGCGCCCCGACCCCCCCCCCCCAGGAAATCCTAGACGCTTCGCGCATCCCCGCCAGCCCACCCAGAAACGACGCCCATGCGAGTTGAGAGGCGATCAGAAACGTGCTGGAGCAAAGAAGGGGACGGCTGGACCGCGCGGCGGAGAGAGGGGGCCAATGATACTATTAGATGGCCGGATGGATGGATGAGGGAGCATGGGGAAGGATGATGAATGTGATGAGGAGGAGGACGTGGGGGGCGAGGAGGATGGTAAGGGATGGGAGGAGGAAGGGGGATGAGGAGGAGGAGGACGAGAGCAAGCAAAATGGCTAGATGTCTCTTGGATGCTTCTCGGAGCCTCGTGAGGTATCTTGGGGGCGCCTTGGGGCGTATTGGGGGTCTCTTGGCGGTCGTTGTGGGCTCTTCGGCGTTCTGGGTGCATCGGGGGGGGGTGGGGGTGGGGGCGCTTGGGGTCCTCTTGGGGGCCTCCTGAGGGCCTCCTGGGTGCCTCGTGGGGCAATCTTGGGACCTCTCGGTGCCTCCTGTGCGCTTCTGTGGGCCATCTCGGATGAGATCGATCAATAAGCGGGCGCATTAAATAGCGCTCCCCCCTCCCTCCCGACGCCAAACATGGGGCCAACAATAAAACACATGATGTTGGCTTCCTCGCCGAAGCCGTTTTGGGCACTCCAGCGACTCGCGGACCCCCCCCCCGCCCAGGTCCTGGGGCGGGGGTGGGGTGGGGGGGCACGCCCCTCACCGAAGGGTAAACATGGGGGGTGGAAGATGAGACTGCCTAAATCACATACGCGCAGAGGGTTGGTGGGATTCACGCTCAGAATCGCCTCTCAGAGCTACCTACACCGCAGTGTACGCATGGTTAGGATGATTGGGAGCGATGGGGGGCGCGCGAGGACGTCACCCCGACGGTGGAGAAGGCCATGGCAGAAGTCGCGTCGATCTACCGCCAGAAGGCTGCCCGTGCCCCGAAGGAGACGAAGAAGAGGAAGGCCCCTGCAGCTTGAGCCTAGGTTGTAGTAAGCAGTTTTTGCGGCTGGCGCAGGCAACGCCCCAACCGACCCTCACCGAACCGCAAAATCCATGAAACTGCCAGAACCCCCCCCCCGAAACGTAACATCTAGTAAAAATGACGCCAGAACGCCGACCAAGTACCGTCCAAGTACCGTCCAAAACGGCTACCGGCCAAGTACCGTCCAAAAAGGCGAAAACCCTGTAAAAACACATGTAAAACCCATGGTCATGCCACCACCGCACCGACCAAGTACCGACCAAGTACCGTCCAAATACCGTCCAAAAACGCCCCCCCCCCCCGTCCGAACCCAATTGTGGCGGCGTTCGAGCCCTCGCTGGTGGCCGAACCGTAATTTTAGCCCCGTCGCCGTGTAAAAACCATTGCCCGTGTGGGCAGGGGGGGTGCGAATCTATGGTTTCGGCTAGTTTTCTGCGGATTTGGCATCTGGAATGCGCGGGTGTAGGGCGGATGCCAGCGGTAGAGGGGGGGATGTCCGAGAATCTGGCAGTTGGGGGTTGCCGCGCCATCATGCGCAGATTCATGAGCGCGCTGTGTGCCTAGTCCCAGGCTCTGGGGTTATGCTGGCATGGCCTCAGCGTTCTCAGCTGGCGAGTGGGCGCGCAAGGCG